TGTAAGATTGGAGTTGGAATTACTTCTTTTTTTGAAAGAGTAAAAGTATTTTAAGGAAACTGAATCTCATTTATAGACTAGGAGTGAGACAAAAGTTTTCACAGGCTCACACACTCTGCCCCACCCATAGAGATCATCCAAAGATCAAACTGATTGGGGATCAGGCAAATACTGCAACAGATTGGTGCACCTTCTGTGCGATCATTTGTGTTAAAATGACAGTTACACCTGGGATGAGTAAAGCTTATGTGTGTCTTGGAGAAATGGATGCTTTTACACCTGTCAGATTTCACTCAGTGTCAATTGCTTCTTGGATGAATTTACATTTAGTTTTCTTGAGGCCAGATCTACCAAAGACACATGATGTGATTAAGTGAGAATAGGATCTCAGTAATGTTGTTTTTTAAGCCTTTATTCAAATCAGTCACATTCTATTCACTGATCATGCCTTCCTCACCCAGGAGGTAAGCACACTTATTTCCTGGGTGGTGTGCCTGCATGGGCCATCTGACCTCGGCAGCTCATCTTGAATACAGCAACCCAGCTGCATCAACCTACCCAAGTTCTCCCACACTACACCGCTCCCTGCACAGGCTACCAGTGGCTGCTCGAATCCAATTCAAGGTACTTGCCTACCATGCTGCAAATGGCTCAGGTCGATCCAACATCCAGGACAAGGCCAATTATACACCGTTGTCCACTCAGGAGCAGATCTAGGGAAAGAGAGAGACTTTAAGAGGTGGCAGAAACTGATGCAGATTTAATCTAATGAATCAAATATATCAATATTTGCTTGGAAATTCCCCCAAATGGAGATATTTGAACTCAAAACCATTATTGTGGCACATTAGTAAAGCATTGAGTAGAAATATCTAAAGGTGGCATTTGAGATCAATATATTATTATCAAATATCTCTCTCTCTCTCTCTCTCTCTCTCTCTCTCTCTCTCTCTCTCTTTCTCTCTCATTCTCTCTCTAACCCCAACTGGTCGAGGCAGACAGCCACCCACCTAGAGCCGGGGGGTCTGTCCTAGGTTTCTGCCTTTTAAAAAGGAATTTTTCCTTGCTGCCGTCACCAAGTGCTTGCTCATGGTGGGAACTGTTGGGTGTCTATAAATAATTTTATAAGGAGTAAGATCTAGACCTGCTCTATTTGAAAAGTGCCCTGAGATAACTTTTGTTATGAATTGGTGCTATATAAATAAAATTGAATTGAATTGAATCTTCAAATCTTCAGACATTTTTCCAAATGCATGTTTTTTTTCATTGAACTCATGCCTATCATTTAGTCTAAAATGTGGCCATTACAGATCATTAAATGAATGTGTTAATTTTAGTTTTCTGTTTTAACAATGTGCTCTGCTGCTTCCAATCAACTTGTTTCTCCCTCACTACGATGGGCGCCCAACAACCGCTCAAGAAAACCACGACTGTTTGCTGTCCTGGAGCCACAATGGTGTGAACGAGCTCACCATAGACATCAAAACAGCAGATCTCTACACACCTTCCATCGCACACTGAAAACTCATCTAGTGCTAGCACTTGAAACAGTTCAGCATATTTGTTGAAGCTGATGTACTTTTGGATTGGATTTTTTCTGGACAAAGGTCAACAAAGGAGCAACTTTAAGTTTTACAAGTCAAACAATCAGTTTGCTTGAGTTTAACCTAAACCACTTCAGAGTTTGTAGAGTGATGCTTACAAAAGATGTGGTAATAACAAATTTACACTTCCCCTTTCATCTAAATCTTCTAAATCAGTGGTTTAGAAAATGCGGGTTAAATTGTTAAGACTTTGTCAGATGGCTTGTGTGGTTGTCCTGTGCTCTCTGTTGTGTCCAGCAGAACTCTCACATCCCCAGATATCAGCAATGAAGTAAAATGTTGGCCAAAACTACAAAAACTAAATCTAAACCGTAAAATTATGACATTTTCTTTAGTTTTTCTCATCTTTTTGATACTAAAAATGCTTAGGTTTGCCTGAGGTTACAATGCCTTTTCACTGCATACGGTATTGCATTGCACATGCACCCACCCACACACACACACACACAAGTCTCCAAAACATCACACACACAGTGCCACGTGTTGGCTTCGTTGATGACCGTGTGGTGTATTCAATGGCGTGTAAAGTGCTGCCGCTGCGAGTATTAGCCTGTTTATCAGAGTGTGTATTAACGTGCTACAGCGCAAGGGTTGGGGGAACAGAGTGTGTGTGCATGTGTGAGCGTGCTAGCAGGGGATCACAGGTGTGTTTGCGAGCTCCACAGAGAGCCTCCTTCCCCCCGTAACCCCTTTGCCCCCACCCTGAGCATCCTGGGTAATATCAGCCCACTGAGCACCTGCGTCCCTATCACACAACACACACACACGCACATGCACACACACCTCTAATGGCCCCGTATCAGCCTGCCATACGGCTCTAATAGCCAGCTGTGTGAGCAGAAATCCAGTGGAGCGTACCAACACTCACTGATGCAGTTGTAATATTAGATGTGAGTTGACTATGATGAACTCAGAGAAAACACACACACTGAGGGACAGTGTGTGCTTTAGCTGTTAGTCTCTTAGTTTTAGTGACACGAGGCTCATTTATCTTCTAAAGGTGAAGAGTCTGTGTCAGGGGTTCCCTCCAGCATCTCTACGTGCAACTGTTACTTTTCATTATACATTTCACATTTTTAAGTATAGCGAAGGAGGCAGTTGACTGAGGTTCTGACAGCGGCTTGCTCAACTGTTATTGGAGCAGATAGCAAAAAGGGGCGGGGCTTAGGAAGGGTCAACTCTCCAAAAAACATCTTCAAACATCAATTTTTATACACTGGCTGGTTGGCTCATCCCGTCTACTGCAGTCACAAATGTTTTGGGAGGAGTTGGGTTGTACATAGTTTGGGCCTTCAGCTCTATCATAATAATAATAATATTGTACTATCCAAGTTAATTGCTGAGCTTTGGTAACAAACTACATCACTAGAAAGAAGTTGACTAAAGAGCACACCAACGTGCTGGACCTTTAGTGCAAGTGCAAATCAGCAAGTATTCTCTTGAAGCCAAACAGTTTAACAGAGGTTGACAGATGGAGATAAGGACAAGGAGAGGCACATTTGTTTGCATCTGTTGGCAGTTGCTAAATTGTTTCAAATTGTTAGCAGGTGCTCTGGCAAGTAAAGTAGACATGAAGCTGCACAGAGTTAGCACAACTCGTAAATTAATCTGTTTACAATGATTCCCAGAGTGAAGAAGAGAACACAGCAGCATCATGCGATATGTAAATGGTGATCGTATCATTTGTGTTATTTCAGCCCGATAATAATAGGCTGCGATAGGAAAAATGAAATATTGGATTTTAGACTTTTTAAGACTTCTGAGGAGCCTGCGGGAGCCCATCCAGCTTCACCCGGCTGCTTCTCTTACAGCCAGCCAGTGTTTCTTTGTGCTGTTTTTATCTCATCCAGTGCTCAGGAGTTACAATATGTGTAACCCACCCATCTAATTGCATTATATACTTTGTATTTTGCATTTTAAAGCTGCTGTTTTTACATTCATGCGTCTGTGGTTCAGCTGGTACGGACAGCGCTCTTTGTATTTGCATTTGACATCTGTTCTTATAAAGTTTGTGGTTGGGGTCGAGGTATGTGAGGGAGTGGAATGGCAGCTATTTTCATGACTACTTTTACATGATATCATCGCTTTTCTCTTATATCTGTATTTTCAAGCATGATAGTGCTACATGAATGTGTTTGTACTGTATTGTACCCTGGGGCATGCCTTGGATTTCAACCATTAGCAGGTGAATTTAAGTGAATAAACAGAATTCAGACAGCCTTGAATAAAGATAATGCCAGGTGCACTCTATGTTTGCAAGTCAAAATAAATTCAACATGATGACTTTGTTTTGTAGATTTGGCTCCTGGAGACCATTTTCTCATGAAATAGTAGGGTAAACTCCAGTGTCACCAATGATAAGAATTAAGTTTCCGTTCCATTTAGTGTAGCAGACCCTTTCCAGTCAGCCAACAAATAGTCTTCTTTGCTTAGGAATGTTCCAAACTGAGTAAAATGGCCTGAAGTAATTCTGTGGCATCGAAGATAAGAACTGTTCTTATTCTCTAAATGCATGAAAGGCGGTTCAGTGCTTCCTTTATTATCGCCTTTAGCATAAGATACACTGGACTATCCTTTACAGTCCCACAGTTCCTTGTGCCAGCAACATTTACAGCACTGTGCCATTGTAGTTTCACCGCGGCAGACCCATGCAGAAACAACAATATGAATTTCTAGTTAACAAGATCATAACAAAATACTACACAGTACACAGTACATAAATGTTGCTACACAAAATCCCCCCATTGTGCAATGCACAAAAAAAAAAAAAGTATTTTTTACCTAACAAATCTATTAAAAAAACAAACAAAAAAAAATTAAAAAGCCAGGAAACGTTAACACTTATATCCCAAAATATAGTGTTCTGGCCCTTTGCTTAGTTGTTTTTTTTTTTTTTTATGATTATTTTAATGGCTCCACTTTCTAATTTCTGTATTTCAATCCTGTTTGTTTTTGTTTACAACAGTATCCCTGTTGTTGTTACTTCCTATGAGTAAGTGATGGTTAAATGCACCCTTTGTATAAACTAAAAACATCTTTTCTCTGGAGGTGTGATTCTGTTTTGGTCAGGGAACCTTACTTGATCTGCATTGACTTTGTTATTGTACTTATCTTCCATGTGTTATAAATAAAGTTGGTTTTAAAAAAAAGCCTAGTGTAATTGCAGTGGGATTCTCTCAGCGCCACGATTGTCTATTCCTCATCCATAAGTCCTTATGAGTTCTCCTTCACATCTTTCCTTGACCTCTGGAAAACGTAATGAGGAATGTTTAAAAAAAAAAAAAAAAAAAAAAAAAAGAGGACATAGGACGTAATTTTTTTGAATGTTCGACCGCAGCTGGGACCGACTAACAAAGGTAGTCAAAAGGCAAAGAGGGCAAACTCTCACACAGAGGATACTTTTAGAAAAGTTTTATAAGAATTGCATGTCCTGCCCACAACAGAATCAGAACAATGATTAAACATCAAAAGTGGAACAAATCAGAAATTCTTTGTGCTCCATCCAGGACAGAGACGAAACAGACCGTAAATGCAAATAATGTGTTTTCATACCCTGTTCCTTAGTAGCACAAATTACACAAACAGTGTTAAGTGACAGTGGTTGCATCCCACATATGATGACAGATTCCGTTGTTGCAGGTGAATTGTCAACATTTACATCATAATGTACATAAATGTCCACTAGAAAACAGTTTCCCTTCCAGTCTGCTTTAGAAAGTAAATAAAGGATCATACTTTTAAAACATAAACTGTGTAACACTGAGTTCAAACTTCTTCACGCTTGCTTGTCCATTTTTCTATCACATTTACAAAAACCTTTGTAGTCATATCAAAGAAAATAATACCAAACGTGTAATTACAACAATACTCTAGATTTTAGTAAATATAAAGTTAGTAATAAATATCAATGGGAGTGTAGTGTGGAACTGATTTACTGTCAGTCAAGGCCTGGGTTTCACAGAGAACTTAGCTGAACTTATATTTTAAAAAATGTATTCAGAGTCTGGGTGGAGGTGCTAGTGTTATTGGCCTGTGTGTATTTCCCAGGTGAATGCCCTTCTCGTGAGGTACTACTGCCCTATGTCAGTACAGTTCATTCTTGGTCCAAGAAGACCGATATGAGCCAAGTGTTTTAACCTCTGCTCAGACAGAAGATCCTATCTGGCTGCAGCGTACCGATGTGCGTGGACGTAATATTAATATCTGACCAGGAAGATCAGAACTGTGTGGTTGGAGGGGTTCGTTCAGAAGCTTCAGTGAGGCGAGTTTTGTAAGGTTGGCAGTAGACTCCAAACTGTTATACTGTATGTGGGTAGACTGCAACTGACCTCCTAAGTCCCGCCCCTTTTTGCTCTGTGGTCCAATAGGAGTTGAGCCAGCCTCGGTCAGAACCTCGGTAAACGTTCTCCTTTACGCTGCGTTTCAGATTCAGCTAGCAAGCTGATGATTGATGCACATTAGCTCGCTAGTTAGCTACTGTTTTCCTAACATTAGCTTTCAGATGTAACTAGCTTAACTCAAAGGGGCGGGACTTAAAAGGGGGGCTTTTTCTCGCTATTTAACATTGACAACCTCTTCTGTCTGTACGAGACATTCAGTGACAGTAACGTGGACAAGTTGGAAAACCTGCACACAAATATAGTACTAACTAATACTAATATTAACTCTTAATAGATGGTTTTAATAATCTATTAATAGTTCTATGAATCCATTATTAACTTATTAACACAAACTAATGATTGATGTGAATTAGCTAGATCGTTAGCTAGCATTTTGTAACATTTTGCCACAAATTTCAGATGTAACTAGCTAGCTAACAATCGATGTAGATAGCTAGCTAAGGTTCTGACTGAGGCTTGCTTTACTGTTGGAGCACAGAGCCAATAGGGTGGGACTTGGGGTCAATTCCAGTTTTGTTCATCTGAAACCTGCCTTCCCCGACCTTAAAGAAAACCTCCAAACAAATGTTTTTTAATCAAGCACTTTACCTGTAAACATAATAAAGAAAAACTTACATAAATAAACAAGGTAGCTGAAGATTTCTATGGTGGAAACTATTTTTATCTAAACTCAAACCAGCATAATCCACTCCTCCTTTCCATAAATCAGTATCCATTTGTCAAAATACTTCACAACTTTACGGCTAATACTTTAGCTGTGTACTCAGTAATACTTGACAGAACTGTTAAAGAAGTGGATTGTGCCGCCGTCTTTTTACAGTTTTTACAGTCACCTTTAAAGCCTTCATAGGTTTTAAGTGTTTGAGGTGGAGTATCACTAAAAAACCAACTCAAGAATTCAGTTGTGTTTCAGCATAGTGTAGTGATGAGTTAATGCATTCCCATCTTTACCAGGAACAACCAGGTGAAATACTGAAAATTTGAGAGGACATGTTTTCTCTTTGAGTGCTATTAAATATTATCCCAAATAATGTCTACAGGTAGTATCAAACCAAAAATACTCTATCTGAAGGTAGTGCTAATACCTTTGGGTCCCTTTTCAGTCAAACCTTACTTAAATATTTTCCACAGCTGTTCAGATATTAGAGAGCTCTGATCACCAGCTCTGGTAAAGGTGATGAAAATGTGTTTCTTCACAGTTTGATGGTGTCCTTTGCTTCCATCTTTTCCTCAGTTCTCTCTGACTGTTTTCTCTGCTGTTATCTCTGTTGCTCTGCAGAGTGGGGGCTGTCCAGACTGCTGTAGGGGGACAGGGAGGAAGCAGCTGGCCCTGAGGCTTTCCCATCATCCCCTTCTTCCTTCTCCATCTCCACATCTCTTTCTTCTCTTCCATCTCCTCCCTCTGTTCTGAACACCTCCACTGATCCTCTCCCATCCTCACTTGACTCCTCAGATGCAGAAAGACCCTCCTCCCCTCGACTCTCCGCCGTGCCGATGCCTCCCTCGGTAGGACTCAAGCTCTCCCGGTCATCCTCTCCGGGGACGGTCTCTCTGACCTGGCTGTGGTGCTTGACATTGTAGCGCTGGTTCTGGAAGAATTTGACGATGGTGTGCTTGGGTAGATCCAGCTGGGCTGACAGGGTGTGGATGGCCTCCTGGTCAGGGTAGAGCCCCACATCGCCAATGAAGCTCTGCAGGATTCCCAGGGCCTCAAGGGAAATCCGTGTCCGTGATCGGGCCTTCTTTGGTCCTCCCCCTCCAAGGCCAGGGCTCGTCCCAGGCTGGGGCCTGTCTTCTGAGCCACGCAAGATGAGCAATGGGTTGGGCTGTGGGTCTTCATGAATTGGAGATGGAGTGGTCAGAGGGGGCATGGGCTGTCTGTGGAGTGCCTGATCAGACAAGAAAAGGACAGTCAAGAAAATGAAATAATATGTGTCACGACATTTGACCACCAAAATCGAATCAGTTCATCCAAGTGGACGATTAAGCCATTTTGGAAGAAATTATCACAGTAGTAAGCAGTAAAAAAATTAGATCAATGTGCAGACCAACTTCTGTGACATACAAGTGGAATTTAAAGGATCACTGTGTAGGATTTAGTGGCATCTAGTGGCGAAGTTGCAAATTGCAACCATTTGAATACAGTTTAGCCTTCCAAGCCTGTAGGAGAAACTATGGTGACCCTGAAACTACGGAAATTGAGAGAGAGCCAGCGGTTGTTCTGTTCTGGGCTACTGTAGAAACACGGCAGTTCAGTATGGTGGACTCCGTAGAAGAGGACCTGCTCCCTCTGTAGATAAAAATCCATTCTAAAGGTAACAAAAACCGAATGATTCTTATTTTCAGGTGCTTATACACTAATGAAAACATACCAATGAATATGATATTCCATTTCTGTCAATAGATCTTCCTAAATGTTGTTTTGTTACATTAGAATGAACCATTTATATTTAGAGGAAATGCTTTTGCTGCTGTAATACTCATTTTGGTCACAAGAGGCAAACGTACACCACTACACCATGTCTGCATTGTGTTTTCTTCCAGATGAGACACAATATATGTACCTTTTATTTAGAGTGCAAATACAACTTTTTCAATTTGTTTCACAGACCAAAAAAAAAACTTCCTGACAAAACAAAACCTTTTTTCACCTGTTCTTAAGTCATAAACACAGGACAGAAAACTATTTTAAAAAATGGATTACCAGAATTTTCTCACTTCTTAGGGCTTCTATATGTAACTGATTATTATTTGATTATTTTGACTGCTAACACATTATATTTCCCAGCAGTCATCATCCATTGTATTTTATTTTATGTGCATTTGTTCTCCAACTTTTGTATTTTATACATGTTGCACTAATTAAAAAAGTAGGAATCAGTGAAGTAGCAAATATATATTGAACATTTCACCACCTTTTGATGTTCTGTACATTCTACGCATTTAATAAACATTTTAACATTTTAAAACTGTTAAACAGCAAAAGAAAAACTCAAGTGGTTACCCAGTTTAACTGACATTCCTGATGCAACAAAAATGTGTATGGGAAATAATTTACAGTCCCCTTTGAGGGATTTATACACGATTTCTGCAGGTTTCAACTGATTAAGATTAATTAAGACATTTAACACCATTATGAATGCAATTTAAGACCAATTTTATGTCCATACTGGCAAAAAGGTACAAGGGTATGGAACTTTATACAAGTAATGTTAACTTCATTAATTCAATAAAATTTTAAGACATTTTAAAATGACTAAAATTCTGATGATTGGATTTTAGACTCTTTAAGACACCCTCTATGTAGGGGACATGCTGTTTTGTGACCATATAAAAAGCGCAGATAATTAGACAAATATAGCTCTGGGTCAGTGTGTGTAAGCACCAACATATCCACTGCTGCAGATTCAACACACTTTAAGGCTTCAGGACAACAAGCGGATATAGAGGGACTAGAGTGTTAGCCTCATGATGTGTCATTACAATATAGACCTCAAACTCCTCATCACCACTCAGCTCCTCTTTCAGTGCCCTTTGCAGAGTCATGAAGGGAAATGTAGTACAAGCGGAAGTGTCACCAACCGGCTTCCATCTTCCGCCAACATGCACGCTAAACTCCCAAATTCATCACACAAACCTCACTACTAGAGCTTATTAACAGGGTGGAGTGGCCAGCACACCCAAACACAGGAATCCAACACCATAAATCTGTGGTCCATCAAAATTAAAGGACCTAAATAAAGATAATGGCAATTCCTTTTTCCCTGCTTCAATAATTACAGGGTATGTTCTGAATAATATTGAGGTTAGGGCCAGACTGGAGAGCATTTGGGTTTTGGGGAGAGGGTGGGATGGAGGAGTGTTTAGCAGGAAATGTGTGGGTTGGTCATTTACCACTTCTATTTTCAATGACTTCTGGGACACACATATGACAAAGAGGAGGGCTGCTGAGGAGCAGGTGGTGGATCACACAGAGGAAACTTTTCTAAACAGCAATCACATCCTGCTTTTCACATTTTCTCACTCGTAAAAACACTTTGATTTGTATCTTTTGCCTGCTCATGGTTGTACTGTGGTCCAGCGGTTGTACATTTAAAAAAAAAAAAAAAAAAAAAAAATCGGATTTTCACACAGATTTTTCTCTTCATTCAGATGTTCACCAGTTTAAACTAGAATAAGTGCCCCACGGTTGTATGTGTCCACCAGCCAGTCAAGTTGCTGTTAACATCTATGTCTGTCCAGACTAATATAATATATTATATTATAATATAATATTTGTGATTAATACTTGGAAGGAATTATATAAAAAGTTATTTTTTTGGCTAAATTTAGGTACAAATGTTTTTTATTTATTTCTCTATTTCTTTTTTTTTTTTAAGTTATTTTTTTGGCCTTTTCATGCCTTTATTGGACAGAGACAGCTGAAGATAGACAGGAAAGGGGGTAGAGAGAGAGGGGATGACATGCAGCAAAGGGCTGCAGGTCGGATTCAAAGCCGGCCCGCTGCATCAACTCCGTTTATGAGTCGCCAGCTCTACTGACTGAGCTAACCGGGCGCCCAGTACAAATGCTTTTTAAATTATACTTGACCAATTCAGTGTCCGTCCAATCATGAAATATGTTCACAATCTCCCCTTCTGTTCTTGAGTTAAGGTGTTGAATAATGGCAACAATTGTGTTTTCCATGACATTATGATGTCACAGTAAAGTTGACCTTTGACCTTTTGGGTAAAAACATGTTCATCACTTAATCAGGCCAAAAGTGTCACCAATTCAGTGTCTGACCAATTGTGAAATACGTTCATCAATTCTTGAGTTGGCCAAAATGTGTTTTGTGATGTCACAGTGACCTTTGACCACCAAAGTCCAATCAGTTCATCCTTAAGTCCAAGTGGACGTTTGTGCCAAATTTGAAGAAATTCCCTCAAGGCATTCCTGAGATATCACATTGACAAGAATGACAAGAATGGGACGGATGGACGGACAACACAAATACATAATGCCTACAGCTATCACTGGCATGGAGCCATAAAGTCAAGCTTTCTGGTACACTCCAGGAGAGCACGAAATCTCCACTACTGGTTGCATGTTTGTACCTGCTGGTCTGGGATGTGCAGGACGGTGTGGAGTCTCTCGCTGTGCTGCTGCCTCGACTCTTCCTCATAGACCTGGTCTCTGTCCGCCTGCTGTAACCCCAGGAACCTCCTGATGGTGCACAAGTTCTCCCACAGTGTGCGGTTCTCGGGGCTCGGGCTCTCTTTCCACCTGAGCAGCTCACACAGCCAACCCTGCAGGACAGACATGTTTTATTTCTCATTATCCAACAATTTAACTTTTTAGCAAGATGTCCTTCATTTCTGGTGAGTTCTTCTGGATAGAGGATTAAAACAAACACGAGCTGTGTTTTAGAACCTTTCTGTGGCAGATTTTATGGGACAGAAGTTATTTGTTTGCATTGTAATCTAATAAGACACTAAAGACGACTTTTAAGCCCATGTGGGCTGAATGCTTTCATGTGTATGACACAATGTTGGAAGTCACATGATACTAAACTTGACCACTTTAACAAAATGTTAGCCACACGATGACAAAAAGCTTCAATTATAGATTTATGTATTTAACAGGAAATAACAGCCAAATAATGCTGGGAAACACTGCCTGCTGTAGGCCTGAATACTCCCAGATGTGACTGAGTATTAACATGTCTTATGATTTTTGATTGATCATTTTTTTATAACATAAAAGACTAAAATAAGCCCTTAAAGCAGCCTCCAGACAAACTGTGTTTTAAAGAACTCCAAATGTTTGAAAAAAGCTGAATGCATTTGATCATTTTGAAAAAATATTGATTATCACATACTGCAATCATTTTTTGTCATTAACATTAAACGGTATATAAGACAAAGTAACTGTAATACACAGCTGTTTGAAGAGTCTACAGATGTGTGTCATAGTGTGCTCACTAATATCAAGTGCCAAGAGGAAGTGAATGGTAAATTAACTGTAATTATATCGCTCCATTCACACACACTGATGTGCAGCCTTCTGAAGCAATTTGGGGTTCAGTATCTTGCCCAAGGACACTTCGACGGGCAGATGAACCGCTGATCTTCTGATTAGTGGATGACCCGCTTTGTGTCTGAGTTACAGCCGTCACCGGAGGGTGTGGCAAACATGTCTTGAAACTCACCGCATGAATATCCACAACAAAGCTGATGGCAGCTGTTTGAGACATGTCGGTCTTGGGCAAAGTGGTGAATGGATGGACTGTCTGCCATCATTAGGCCAAAGACACTAGAGTGACATCGGTGAGGAAGTTCTTATTGTATTTCTGTTACCGCTGGTTGTTTATTTGTTGTCTGTAAGCAGTGGGTTTTTAAAACGCTGTTTGTGGCAATGTGTTCTTATAAGATCAGCACAGTGTTGCTAGTTAGACTGAACGCTGTATATTTAATTCAGCACATATGTTGGCTCATACAGTTTCACTCCTTTTTAATCACGATGTTTGGATTGAATTTGAAGCACTGACTCGGATCATGATCCTCTGAGCTGTCTGCATTAGGTTAATGCTATGATGCTGCGTACAGGTACACCACATATTCAATTCTAAGATAAAAATACTATTTGTTGTGTTAGAATACAACTGAATTGTTTCCTGAGAAAAAAAAAAAAGCTGAAGAAAGAGAGAGAGTGTGTGTGTGTGTGAGAGAAGATTGGATTATCTCTGCTAGGCTGACCCAGGATCTGCCACCAGCTGTTGTTTATGCGCAGCCTTCAGCCTGGAAATTAATGATAATAATGTGATCATCCCTCCGTCATCTTGTCTATCTTTTCCTCCGTCTTGCATCCTTCTGTTCCTCTGACTCCGCTGTGTCCCCCTTCGTCCCTCGCTCAGTTTCAGTCCATTTACTGCTTTATCATTTCAGACTCTCAGTGTCTCTCATACATGAATACACACTTTCTCTCAACCCTTGTCTGTGATGGTAATAATAAAAAAAAATTAGTGAAGGCATTTCAACTGCTTTTTGAAACCATCGTCTTCCTCTCTCTGTCTCCCCCTCTCTCTCCCTCTAGTGCACCGTCTGCTTTGATCTCGCCTTCGATCACCCGCATTGTTTATCTGAAGATGGAGACATAATGTTTGCCACAGCGGGTAATCAGATACCCCAAACGCCCACACACACAAACACACACACAGCTCATAGCTGTGTGTGTGTGTGTACGTGTACAGGAATGTAACGGGAGGTTCAGGTTTGTAAACTAATTCAACAAAGAGAAAAGTTTTGATGAATACATTCTATTTTTTTCAGGTCCTCTTTTTTGCCCCTCGTCTCTATACAACAATTCAAGGAAACAGAAAATGTTTTATTCAGGGTTTTGAGTATTATAGACGCCATTTTGCGCTGCGTAACGACTATATTCAGTTATACTGGTCTAATAAAATGGAGGGCTGTATCTTTAAGCAATTGGGACCGACCTGACTTTTGTTGGCAGCCACCTTGGCGAACAGAGCCTGGGAGACCTTCGCCCTCTTCATCTCCTGTTGGATCTCTTCATAGATCCCTGACGTGATGTTCAGCGGTGAGTCCAGCTTCAGTGGCAGCTCTGCGTCAGACATGATGCACTTTGTCTGCACAGTGCAGGACACAGAGAATTAAATGAAACTTACAAATAGACATGTTTACATAAAAGATGAGATTAAAAAAGTGGATCATTTATTAGACATTTGCATAAGCAGATGAATTCACTGTCTATTCATCACAACCTCACAAGTGTCAGATTCATATTTCATAGAGGTTTGGTGGATCTTTGCTATAATGTGTTATTAATATTCTTTTAGAACAGTACTCATAGTACATGTCATAGTAAAAATGAACTGCAACATTGCAAAACAGCAACAGCGTATAAGCGGATGGTTTGACTTTCTGTAGCTAAATAAAAAATAAAAAAAGACTTCCATTATCAATGAACTTCACATTACCCCCTGTATGTATTTAGGGTCAGAGTTTATGCAGTTATATGTCAATTTTTCTCTCACAGTACATGGCGGGTATTAGCCTGTATGTGCAATCCTATGAGTGTGTGTGAGTGCGTGTGCGTACCTGTGCGTGTCTGTGTGTGTTGGTGTTGGGCATGAGGTTGGTGGAGTGGTTATGGTTGGTGTTGGTGCTCCTCTCTCTCTCCTCCTGGTAGATGCGGTCTCGCTCGCCCTCTGGCAAGTTGAGGAAGTTCTGCATGGCCTTTAGGTTGACCAGCAGCGACTGGGAGGCCGAGCGAGGATCCTCCTCCTTACGAAGGATCTCTGACAGCAACCCCTGCTTACACACACACACACACACACACACACACACACACACACACACACACACACACACACAGTTACTCACAAGGTTATTGCATCATCTCTGACAAACAGTGAGATCACTGTGTTTCTGTTTACCTGTGTGCGGTTAAAAGCCACGCGGGCGAACACGGCCTGGGAAACGCTGGCCCTCTTCAGCTCATTCCTGACTTGCTGGTAAATGTCGAAGGAGACTTCGCCCCCTGAGCAGTTGAGGCCGGGCTCAGGAACAGCCCCGGAGCCCTTGCAGGTCCGCGAAATGGGCGGGTGGTTGAGAAACTGCTGGTTGACTCCCTGTGGGTGCTGGTGGGCGAGCAGGCGGCTGACTGCTAGCTGCTGGTTGATGAGGTGGGCCATGGCCAGCTGCTGACGCACGAGCTGAGGGGAGAGATGGGGAGACAGGAGCCCGCTGTGGCCCAGGAGAGGCGGAGCCTGGGGACGAAGCGGAGGACTGGGGTGGTGCTGGCTGGCTGGACGAGGAAGACAGTGAGGCTGGGTGGAGGTCTGAGTGTCCCCGAGGCCACTCTTGATGGACAGAGCTCCGGGGCCGCCCAGGCTGCCCAAATGGGTGGGAGAGGGTAAGAGAGAGGGAGGACGCTGGCTGAGGACGCTCATGTCCAAATCCCTCTCCACTGTGTGAGACACAGACACACACACACACACACACACACACACACGTTACTTTACTGTTTACATTTGTTTCCTAACCAAAATCTGAATCCTAAACCTCACACACTAACACTGCACACTAACTAAACTAAACCAAACCTAACCTTAGTACTAAAGCCTAACCTTAGGACCCCACTGGATCTACCAGTCTATCCATTTCTAAACCCAACCCTCCAACATGGCCACCACAAAGTGCATTATGTCACTAGAAAGTCGTCAATAAAAAGAGGAACATACCTTTTATATCGGATTTGTCCTGTACTGACCACATCTTCTCCATGTAGTCACCTGAGGGGAAGATATCAGAGCAGATAGTATAGTCAGTAGTAGTCAAAAACAGTAATTGTAATCACATGTACTGTATAGCTTATGGATATATGTACCATGTGTGTGTATACTGTATTTGTGAACATACTCAAATAAAAAACATTTGAGAAAAAGAGGAAATCACAAGGCTTATTGTGAAGGGGAAATGGTGTTTGTTTATGAGTTTAAGACAGAGGTAATGCAATGTTATTTATAGCAACAAAAAGGGTGTGTAGAAACATGAGGACAGTGCAATAGAAAACCCTTGTAGGATATTGTTTACAGCACATGCTGGTCTAACACAGGGGTCAGCAACCTTTACTATCAAAAGAGCCATTATTGGCCAAGAAAACAAAAAGGCCAAAACAACAACAACAAAAAAAAGAAACAAGCATATCAAGCACAAATCTTTCTTTGCACTATTAAATTCTCAATTTTCCATAGCTAGCCTAGGTAGGGAGACTCAAGACTTCTTGCCACCAGTAATGAGGTTCGGCAAAAAAATAAAGACAAAATGTATGACGCACATTTCAGTTGTTTTAGCATTTGTTTGCCAGTCGGTTTTTACAATTGGAGAATGTAATCACTTAAGACCTACAGCAATGATACATTTAAATGTTAAAAAATGACTTCCTTTTAATTTTTTATCAAAGCCACAGGGAGCCACTGGAGAGGGGCTAAACAGACGCAGGTTGCTATCCCGCTCTAGTGGTTCAGGTGATGACCTCATAACCACAAAGTCTTGGGTTGAGCATGGTACTGAAGACTTATTTTCACTTACTGTCTCCACGTTCTCCAGATAAGATCAAATAAATGAAGAATGTTTCCTCTTTATAACTGCACTGAACGTTTCTGTTCTCCTGGATTTTAACGGCCCCTCTGCTTGTCTCCACGAGATCTGCTTCCTATTAAGCTTCTGCTGGGTTTGGTTGAGAGTCACATTTTAGGTTATTAGGGGAATAAAAGTTGGAGTGAGGTTTGGCAGGGCTTCAGATTTTTACCTTCCCTCTGTGTGTGTGTGTGTGTGTGTGTGTGTGTGTGTGTGTGTTGGGGGGTTGCTGCTGTTTCCCATTAGGAGTTAAGAGCATTTAGTTTTGTCATGTGTATTAAGGGTGACATTAATGCAAACCATGTGTGACAGTTCCTTCCTACTGAGAGCTGTCACTGACAGCGGATTAGACACATACAGGCTGACACATGTGCTCGTACACATACAGGGGGTGGACAGAAGAATGGAAAAACTTCATTAGAAGGGATCACATTTAAAGCAACTACATCACAAAAACAAAAGGCAGCCAGGCAGGTGAGTCATATTAAGTTGAGTTGTGATTAGCAGTCAGTGTCAGTTTGAAGAAAGAGCTCTGACAGTCTCCACCTTTATGACTATTATAAAGCAACATGAGGCAAATAAAGTATAAACAGCTGAACACTTGAGGTGCAGGAGAGTTGGTCACTAAAACTGTAAAAAGTTTTTAACAAGGCGGGAGAATTTAACAAGGAAACACGTGCCAGCAAACTACACCAGCTCAGATAGACACTGACAGAACACCTAATGAACAACATACAGCTACCACCCAAGTGAAGCGACACCTGTGACAGACTGCGTTTATATGCCCTAAAGGAACCAGATTACTGTGAAGAATTGTGTTTATATGCGCCACAATAGTCTGATTACAATAAAACAGCAATAGATTACAACAGAGACATCTATCTGAATACTTTTGGATTACGTCAAAATTTAACATGAAAAGTCCAGATTGTTAGTAGAGCTCTGCTTCTCAAAAAATGTTTTAAAACTGACATATTTTAAAGATGTATTATACAAAATGTATACTAATTATAAATACATGTATTTCAAAAGTAATCTGGGCTGATAGTTACTTATCTTTTGTGATCTCATTACGTAATAATCCCTATTACATATAATCTACCCAACAAAGTATGCACGTGACATGAGCAGTGGTCGCCAATTTATTTAGGGATCACCCAAATTACAAAAACTTATTTTTTCACTTGTCTCCAGTGGTGTCTAGACGTTATGTTACTGAGTTACAGTGTAGTCTGGTTAGTCTTGCTCAAGGGCAAATGCAAAGCATAACTGATTAACTTTGTGCCATAAAATTTTGAATAAAGTCGTTTTCATCCAAGGAAAAGGTGAGAGTGAGGTTAAGAGTTACCTTTGATGCGTTTGTATCTCTTGTACCAGCGTCCAAACTCCTGGCATTTGGAGGTGGAGACGTTGGCATAATAGGAACTGTTTACTATCGCTGAGATCATACTCTGAGAGAGAGAGAGAGAGAGAGAGAGAGAGAGAGAGAGAGAGAGAGAGAGAGAGAGAGAGAGAGAGAGAGAGAGAGAGAATTACATAGACAAACAAGATGTTGTAGCTAACCTCAAAATCGATGACCATTTTCATCATTTTATTATTGACTATTGATGTTTGAGTTTGATAATAATGTCTGCATTATTCATCCCACAGTTCTGACTTTATACTTGAACTGAAAGATTCATCTTAAAACTGTTTATGAAAAGCCTGTGTATGTTCTTGGGAGAGGCAGAGTCTTGAGAGTGGGGGATGAGTTTTTGTTACAGAATATGAGAAATTTATTAAGAATCTTCACCCTCCCTTTCTTTCCCAACATGCACTGTGGTCAGTTCTCCAGAGCAGAAGATGCACACACTCAAAATAAGTAGTGAAAGCTCAACATGGGAAACACTGAGGATTAAAACTCACATGAGTCAGGCTGCAAACACACACACCACCCACACACTTCCCCTAATCACTAATTACATCATGACTAAGTCGTGTGTATAAATCACAAGTCAAAATGACACACTCTCAAGTCTAATGACTGCAGGGTGTGTGTGTGAGCAGGATAATTGAGGTGTGCGTATTTGCATCCTTTCCCATGGGACTGTATCAATACTGTATAATACCGAGTGTGTATGTGTGTACATGCATGCGTGTATACGTAGAGAGAAAATACTTAGCAGTATCTCAGCTATCTGTGTGTTTCTATCATTTACTGTAGAAAAGGAATTTAAAGCAACATCTCCTTACTTGCACATGTTTAATGAGGTTATCATCTATCAGCCAGGATACCAGAAAGTAAACTTTATTTCTCTGAACTGAACAGAACTGAACTAAATTCATTATAAAATAACAACCACACAGCATTTTGAATGCTGATGAGACTAAAGCTAGAATTATGGTTCTGTGGAGATGCACATAAACGTATTTAGACCTGCTCAGAGAATGATAACCATACGAACAGAGAACTGCAAGCAGGCTGAGGGGTTGATCCAATGTCCTGTCCACAAGTTCTCTCTTTTTCTTTCAGAGTTTGGGTGTATATTTCAGCGTATTACTGCCACGAGTGATCTAGCAAAACTGAATTAACTTTCAAGGAACTTAATATTGCTTCACATCTTCATCATCATAGTCCCATCTATTTACCGAGGAGTCCAAATTCTTTTACATTTGCTTGACGGATGTAGCGGTTTGTTTACACTGTTACCAGGCGGAAACTGATTCCTGATATTTTCTTTGTTTGCAATTGTAGAAATATAAAATAAACACACACACACACTTGTTTTTTTGCAGCCTGGAGAAGTGTAATTATTCCAGCTATGAAAAACCCCACGACCATTTTTATCAGCATTTATTATTAGGATTTCTCATTGCATTTGGCATGTCACAAACTAAGCATTTACTTGATAAAAGCAATCATCAGATTATTCAATTAATATTTAAAATAATTGTTAGTCACTCACACACACACACACACACACACACACACACACACACACACACACACACACACACACACACACACACACACACACACACACACACACACACACACACACAACACAAAAAACACACACACACACGTAGCCCACCATTAAGTTTTACATCTAAGTTTGAGCACCTGTGCATTAGATATTCATTGCCTTTCAATGAATATCTGGGTGTTGGGTGTATGAACTGAGGTTACCTGGGAGAGAGGACACTCCTTGGCCAGCGTGCTTTGGTTGGTCTCTCTGAGCAGCTCTTTGAGGGCGTTCCTCACTGTAGCGTGGGTCCACTGCTCTGATGGCAGCTCCTCAAGCCGGGCAAAGCTGCACAGGTGAAAGTCTTTATTATACACTGGATTAACCTTCCATTCTTTAAAGCAGGGTTGTAGGAGGCTGCCACATTGGTCAAATCAACCAACAAACTGCTAGAATCTCTCAGTTATCAAACAGAAACAAGCATTTTGTTGTCACACACGCACACGCACACAGGGCTGACCTGTACAGTAGGATCCGCAGTGTGACCATGTGGTAGACATCAAGCAGCATGTCGGCCACTGTGGCCTCCGGAGCGTCTGTTAGGAAGTGGATGGGCATTGGTTTCCACCGGCCCACTTTAATGATGCCTGGAGAACACAAACAAACACAACAACAAATATACAAGTAAAGCGTATGTTCATTGTCAGTTTAAAAGTCTGGATCTAAAATAACAATATTAGAAATACTTATATACACACACACAGTAGTAATTGTCACGCTCTTGCTTTTTCTTTTTAATATAAAAGGCTAACCTACTTGTTTGTGAGTGTGAGTGTGAGTGTGTGTTGTTTATGTTGGGGAGCTCTCCCGGTCTCAGAGCATCACCCTGGGTTCAACATTCCCCTGGCCTCCTTTACAACCGTGACTGGAAGTGCAAATCTAAACAGGCCTAATCGCGTTAAGATCTGCTAAATCAAACACAGACCCTGGCTGGCCTTGGCCTGCCAGCCTCAGTCATGTGTGTGTGTGTCTTCATTGCATGAGGATGGTGGTGATAGGGGCAAAAGAACAAAGGCTGTTCTCTTGGGACCCTACAGTTGATTAATCAGAGGAGAAATGTAAAATCAGCTCAACATTAAAGAGTGAAGCAGGCTGTGAATGAGAGCGGCGTTTTGATGTTGATGTACTGAATACAGACTGAGCTCATTGTTCTGTCTGACAGCACAATATTTCCCCTCATAACTGGTAACAGGTATTGTGTGTCCTGCAGCCGACTTTGCTTTAGAACTGATTGTTAATACTTTGACATGTCATCAGCTGCTTACTGATATCAATTTGCACACATACTTGAACATTTTAAACTCTTCTTATGCACAAATAAACAGTAACTAGACAGGTATGTTGTCAGTGTAGAATATTGCGGGATTAAACAGGGCTTCATCAAATCTTATTTAACCAAACACACACTTGTCTCTTCACAGAAATGGCCAATATTATGGTTTTAGTTTATCTCAGATATAGCAGTATGTGCTTTCATGTTGGCCACTGAGTAACGCATATGGCTGTACAAAAATGTCAAAGAATTGTTTGAGGTACTTTAGAAAGAGAGTCTCTATAACTTTAAGTACATATGCTGGGGACAATTCTTTAATTACATTTTATATTGAACATAACTGATTGTTAAATTTTTTAACTGTTTTTTAATAAACAAAAGGTTGTTGTAGCCTAAGCTATATAAATCTAGGAGGTTCATCTATTTAGTAGGATCTATTGGTGGAAATGGAATATAATATTCATAGGTATGGTTTCATTAGTGTATAATCACCTGAAAATAGGAATTGTGCTTTGGTTACCTCAGAATGAGCTGTTTTTATATAGACACAGACACACAGACACACAGACACACAGACACACACACACACAGACACACACGGTTGCCTTCCATGGATTGATGTCAAGTAAACTATTGATGAACCTCAGTTGCAAAGTTCCTGGAAAACTCAGGGTGTGTATTTTAAACATGTTTAAAATAATATAGTTGAAACATATCGATTTAATATGTTTCTTAAAATAAGGTTTGGGTTGTTTCTGCAATCCTCTAGTGGTTTGCAAGCCTTCAAAAACGGTCGATTGTTATTTTTAAGTGAGTAATATCAGAGAAAGCTTCCAAAAACATGGCCTTAAGTTAAATTTAGTTAGATTTTTTTGCTTAGCAATTCACCTAAGCCCATGTTAAATCTAGGGCAGTAACCATATACTCTAAATAAGAAATAGCTTCTTTTTAATTAGCCATAATGTGCAAGTTAATTAAAGAAAACCCCCTGTGCCAGTTAAGAGTTTAAAAATACTTGTCCAGCCAAAGTTATGCAAGATGCAATTCAATCGCAGAAGAAAATAGAAGAGTCTCTGTATAATTTTGGTTGTGACCACACTGGGGGAAAAAATGCATGACTCCAGCCAAAAATTATTTATTTGAAAAGAAAAGGCTTATTTCTCAGAACAAAACCTAGCCATTTGGGAGAGGCGAGGGGGGTCGCAGGGCGTCGGCCACTTGGTTAGAGTGCCCTGTGTTTACGGGACACACCAGGAATGTCAAACTGCCCTACTCTGTGTGTGTGAAGGCTGTTGTTTCATGGCTGACTGGATGTTGTCTGCCTCCTTGTTTTGATCTCAAAATGATGAGAAAAATAGTTTTGGTGCTGGTCTTGGACGCACAGATACAGACTTCATGCTGCTTGCCGGGTAAACTGAATCACATCAGGAGATAAATGTTGGAGAAATCAGGCAGGTTTATCTTTAAAATACCTTCTTGGTAAATGCCTTTCCTGTGATCGTATAGTTTTGGGTACTCGTCTGTACCCATGTGGCAAACCCCACCCATCTGGAAACCACTTATGCTTTATCCATTTATGCTGCTGCTGGAAATAATTAATTACTCATCAATTACCAAACAAAGTGGTAAGAAAAGACTGAAACATGAGTTGTTTTCCATTATTGTGTAATCATGGAAACGTTTAGATACCTACGTTCCCCAGATGTGATGTGAAGAGGCAGAGGCTGATGAGGGTCAACAATATTAGTTTGAAGAAAAAATATGTAGTTGTCAATATCTATGACCTGCACAAAAACAGGGATGTGACATCACTGAAGCTTGGGTTTGGGTTCACTGCTCTGCTCTCCCTCATCCTGATGCCCGGAAATCCAAATTTTGTCAAAGTGGAGGACGCCTGGGTGGAGCTGAGCAGGAAACCACCCTGGCTGTCAATCAAGCAAATATGCTTTAAAATACACTTCTCTTTAAGCCTTAATGTCTGCTTAAGGGAACAATGATTCTCAATGTTGCCACCACATAACATTAAATGATGTGTATCTAGATTATGGGACCCAGATTTATTCTGGATTAAAGTTACTGAATTGTGCCATTCACGTTAACACTGTCGGTTCTCTTGGGTTCAGGATCAAGTCCGTTCATAAGGAACTGCAGTGTAGCCATTTTTTGAAATGTATATAAAGTCATATTTGAATTGTTTGGCAGTTTGAAGATATTTGTTGTCATAGGACGTCTTTCCAAACAGGATTTCTTGTATTCGGAACTATAAGTACAGTGCTAGTACGGCTGAGATGTGGGGCTAATGTGTGGATTTTACGCAGGGATAAGCTGAACTTAAACATAAACTGAATCCAGAGGAAGGAATTTCTGAAAAGACAATAAAAGATGCATCATGTCAGCACTAAAGAGCGCCGTTTCCTGCAGATCAGCCCTTCAGTCAAGTGGGGTGTGGTCATCACAGAACGCATTGCACACAGCTTCAGTCATTAGCTGACTAATTTATGTGATTGAGAGAATTAGACAAGTGAGTTTTTAACGATAGTCCACTTGGTTGCAAAGGTTTGAATCAGAAAAGCAGATGAACGTCAGTTTGTTTGAGCTATTTTCACTGAAAGGAAGAGCACCTGAATATGAATCCATTGATTTGAACATGCACCTGCACACACCCAGACTCTACTTACCACTTGCCTGTACAGCTGAGCTGTGAGAGTATCCCAGAGCGACCAGTGCCGTCTCTACCAGCTGTGTGAAGAGGACGTCCTTACGAACCAACACAAACTCAGCGTGACGGTCGCTGTGCCCCTCACAGTCACCGGCTACGCCCACATCTGCACGCTCCACCACACAGTAGACCGGGATCATCAAACCTGGCAGTCAAACACAGACAGTTATAGGAGAACAGGGTTGAGCTCCACTGGGACTAGTCTCTGGTGTGTGCAGACAGGAAGGGGGGTGGGGGTCATGTGGCCCAGGTGGCACCTGGAAGTTGCTTAACGTTTTCCCAGATCCATTATTCTTTGGCTGTTTTTCATCATCTGAATAAGACTTTGCAGACAGGCTTGCCCAATTCAGACAGGCAATTCAAATTTAATTTTAGTTGTATAGCGCCAAATCATAAAAGAAGTTATCTCAGGACACTTTTCAAATATAGCAGGTCTAGACTGAACTCTTGGTGACAGGGGCAAGGAAAAAACTTCTTTTAAGAAACCTCGTGCAGACCCGGGCTCTAGGTGAGCGGCTGTCTATTTAGAATATGTAGGGGGAGAAGGTAAATGCAGGTTCCTTTTTACTCTTAGCTGTTACTCATAAGCAAGGCACAGTGCAAATAACTGGTTTCTTGTGTTTTTTAAAGTTTTTTGAGAATTTGTAAGTTTCTTTTTTATCATCCATGTTTCAGCACTCTGAATAGTATCTGCGTTAGGGATTCCTACAGAAACAAGGCTGACAGCAACAGATTTCTGTCTGTTCAGTGTTGCTGCAGTATAGCTGCTTGGTGGTCTCAGTACAGCGCTCTGGTTGAACTGGGCAGCTGCCAGTGTGAATGTAAGATTGTACAACTGTATTTGTGTTTGCACCACATATTAAAACCACAAGGAATACGACTTGTTTCCAGGGCTCTTAAAGCACTGCTGGACATAATATCTATTTCATTTAGCACTCAGGAGCGATGCCATAACTCCAGCAGTGAGACCGATTCCTGTGCGTTGGTCTAGACTCGTTACTGGGCGAGTACCGAGAGCTCCTCCAAGCCTGGAACCATTCACACCCATCCAGTTCACTGCTCTGTCCCACAGGAACTCCTAATTAACAAGCTATCAATCCTCCTCCTGACGAGGCAGCGACACATCAGCCGGAGCCAAACCGCAGCAGCATCAGGCACGCTATCGGCCAATAAGCCAAGCACTCAGTGGAAGGGTGGAGGGAGGCAACCCAGCCGAATATCTGTGTGTGGGTGTGTGTGTATTACCGTTACAATGTTTGTGTGATGATGCATGATGATGTTTTCAACTGCATGAGAGAATAATGGGCATCTGTGCGTGAGTGTGTTCTGTTTTAGGTATTTTAGAGTGTACATGCAGCTCTGTAAAACTGCACCAATGCAGAATGTGTGTGTGTGTGTGTGTGTGTGTGTGTGTGTCTGTGTGTGTGGCCACCCCACCCACAGACAGACACCCACATCATCCACATGTTCTTGGTACACTTTATTTTTGTGCCCTGTGCTAACACTTTATTCTAACATTTTAGAACATTTTGTGAGGAGTTATAGTTCACGTACTCTGGCCTTAAGCAAGGAGCCTGTGATCTCCTGCATCTGTAGGTTAGATAATTAACAGACTAGTTTGTATTATTTGTCCACCGACCACGTTAAAAAGGCAAAAGAGTTTATAGCTAAACAATGCTAAATATTAAAATGAGGCAAACATATTTTTTAGACAATCTCTCTTTGAAAGATGAAACAAGATATTTGCACGACAAGTGGTGAAAGAAGAAGAGACTTATTTTGAAAGGTACAGGTTAACTCTCCTCCATTAATAGGGTAGGTAGGTAATGTTTTGTGTTTTAACACAAAGTTTGGTGTTTGACTTGCATATAAATGTATTGTTTGGGATGTTACTTGCTGCTCATAGGTACAGAGAGCATTTATGCAGTGGAGACCCTGTGAATGCTTTGTTTCTCTAAAACTGAGGGGAAGTTATGCTGATGCCTTGCAAGAAAGTGCTGACAGAGTTAAATGCAGTCCTTGTCCACTATTGAGCGCAACACAGAGTTAGAGCCACTAGTTGTAGACAGCATCCCAGTGTCACACCAAAGCAGAGGGTACCGTGTCAGTTTTCCTCGCCTAAAAGCGAAAAGTACACATGGGTTTGAGCAGTGGCAAAAACAAGCACTTTTACAGGACGTACTTTAACGGGTACATTTCTCCAGAAGGCTAATGTTACAGAGCAGCCATAGCAGTACGTTTTGTGAATATTTTCTTATCTATTATTGAGGGTATATTTCAACCAAACCAGCATTGGCGATTTTGGCTGGAGAGACTAACAAAGCTGGTTTGGGTGAGTTTTATTTTGTTTCTGTCCAGTTTGAAGTGTGTTTGACAGTAATCTGCTGGGTAAAATGACTGTACCCCCAGCAATTCAGACCAGAATGGTCTGGTAGCATTCCGTATACATAACCTTTCAGCCATAAAAATGACTTAACTCTAGTAATCAAGCATGTGTATCTCTGTATCCAAGTAGTACGTGTGTGTCCTAACACCCCACCTCCAAGTGGTCTCAGCGGTGTGCCATTCTGCCTGGTACGCGGAGCTGCGGGGCTGCCGTTGACTTCCACACGGCTTGACTTGCACGGTGGGGGGCCACTGGAGGCGGGGCTCTCCCCTCTCTCCTCGGGGCTGGTGCTGTCCCGAAGGCTGGGGCTTTCTGTTCCCCCCCCTGCACCTCCGAGCTGCTCCATCCCCCTGAAAACTCCAGGAGGAGCACCCAGCACAGTGTGTGAAGCTGGGAGAAAACACAAGACAATAAAGTATCAGTGTTTTTAGCAGATACTCATTTGCAACACCCAAAAGAAGGGCTTTTATGAAAATAAGAGGTTAGAGACAGGAAGGTTAGAGGGAATACAAAAAGATACATGTGAAAAAAGGCAATTTTCCCCAAAAAACTTCAATTACTACACAGTGCTTATGGATTTTTCTTTTTTTTTCATGAACAAAGTAAGAAATTAGGGCTGCATGTTATGGTAAAAGCATCATATTGAAATTATTTTGACAAATATTGGGATTGTGATATGATTTGTGATTAGTGTGTAAATCATTTTTGTAACACAAATTGAATTTTCCCTGAAAAAAAAAAAAAACAAACAAAAAAACCCCCATGAAATTTGTTGGTGTCTGTACCAAACAAACAATATTTGTAGGCCAGGCATCTCTTCAGAACTGCAGTACTTCATTATAATGCTGTTAATAACGCTGTCTTGTTTTTACTTTTATTCAAGGTTAAGGTTAGAGAGGGGTAAGGATGAGGAGTATGCAGTTACTATATCAGTAACTCTCTGCCAGCACAAAACTAACAAGCTGCTCCTCACACAGTGCAACTACACTCTCTACATTGAGTATATCATGTTTCATACTTTGCCAGTGTTGACGGTGAAGAGCCGTTACCGACCATTTCATCAAAAACTGTAGCTTTGTTCAATTCCTCCCCAGCCAGTACAGTGAATACATTTCTTATTCACATACAGGAGAGGTAGGGGCAACCACAGACAGAGAGTGCGAGGCATCTGGGACAAATCAGAGGTCAACAAGATGCATTCACTCAGACTAAATACTGGCAAGTATATTATTCTCTATTTAGACACATAGGAGTAAACGACACAGTATAATGACAGACGTGAGACTGTAAGGCGAGTATGGAACACTATGACAACACACTCTGTTTACTGGAGGTAAGGATACAACCCAAAGTGTGTAAACTCATATGATGATGACGTAAGAATTTTTAAACACTCATGTTGTACTGTGGATGGTTCTCGTTGTGCTTCAGCTGCATACTTTTCCACCATGATCCCATTATATATTTACTTATGCAAATTACGGTGGTGATGGTAATTATTTACAGGGTTTCTGCCGGTTTCAACAGTTTCAATTTAAGACTTTAAAACCTTCAAGACCTTTATGAATGCAGTTCAATAGCTACTTCACATACATACATACTGGCAAAAAAGGTACAAAGGTTATGAAGGAAAATTAATATTTGTTCTATGCTGGTTTCATCTTATAGTTGTTACAGAAGGAGCAATAATTTGTTTTCCATTTTAAATTACAATTCAGACTGAAAAATTTTACTTTATACAAGTAACGCTAACTTAATTAATCCAATCAATTTTTTAAATCATCAAAACCCCACCGACACTCTTGTATTAACTAGATTTTTCTAAATATTTTGTATTTTTGTGTCAACACACTGGTCATTTTTATGATATAGGTGGTATTAACATAAACTATTTATGTTTAAACATGACAGACATATTATGGTAGTTTAAAAAAAGCTTTTTCCTTCACTAATTAATAATTGTTAATATGTGTGACCAGGTGCTTCAATACAGTAATCAAACAATAAACTTAAACGGAGAACCAGTGGTGTAAGTCTGATGTTCCTGCTACTATGATGACAGCGAAGGAGAACAGAAGTAGAAAGGACATGATTTCAATCCTGACTTTGGTGTATGAGTTGACATAACAACATACAGTGTGAACATACACATGAACGACATGACTGAACACATGAGGAAAGGACAGAGTACACGATAATACGTGGCCGCATATGAAACAGGTCACAATGTGACAGAACACTACATACTACACTACAGAGCAGGAAACGACTGGTCTGTCCTCACACATTAACAGTTAAAACCTTTTGTGTGGATTAAACAAGATATTAATGAGCTTTAGAGATGCTGGTAGATAGATTTAGTTTCCCTTGTATAGAGCCAGTCTAGCAGCTTCCATGCAGGTCTCATGTGGTTAAAACAAAAACACACACAGCCATATGAAACATCACTTTTACATGTTGTGTTTTTACACCTTTTTATATAGTTTCAAAACCATAAAAAGGTTTTGTGTCACTGGTTTACTGCTAGTTTAAAAAGGACTTTTTAAAAGGCAGTGAAGGGTCAAAAATATATATGAACAGTATACCCAAAATCTGCTGCATCATGCACGGCAAAATAAACTCAGTAAACACAGTACATTTGGGAAAAGCTGTCTGCTCTCTGCTTCGTGTTTTTCCCTCACACTGTGTGGTTTCCACTGGTATGACCGTAAAGCCAACAGCGACACATGATTATAATAAAACGCACATGCAAAATTAATAGCTGCTGTTAAAAAAGCCCATCCAACACAAACAAGAAAAAAACAAAACAAAAGTCACAGCATTGTGCGACACTGAGGCCCTACCTCACTTTGCTCAAGAGAAAGAACAAGCTTTGCAATCTGATTTTCTTCACTGTATTTGACTGACTGAAATCAATGTGTTACAGAATTTGCCTCCACACTCACTAAATGCAAGTAGCATTAAATAAGCATCAAATACAGAGAAGATCTTGCATTTACCTTCCAGACTGTCATACAGCTTTCCTGTGGCGCTCCACAGATTTTACACATTTTAGGTCTAGGTGTGTGCTACTTGCGTTCGGCACCATGGCACAGCTTCGCCCCCTCAGTATCCTCTGTTTAAGTCTTAGGTTGTGTATCTATAGAATCAATTATTGGCAGTGATATGTGTGATTATCACTTAGCTGTAAGTTTCAGAACCATGGACAGCTCTGTTCGTTGTGTGTGGGCAACAGGAAGTAAAGCCACAGAGAGAGAGAGCTGCAAGCCGCAAACAGCTGCTTCTACACATCTCCCGCGCAGAAATTCAAAAAATATTTTGCTCTAGTATTTTATGAAAAAAAAAAAAAAAAAAACAGATTTTAAAACAGCCCCCTCAGTCACTTCGGCCTGGCACCGGGCCTGGCACTATTATGCTACATTTGTTGGAAATAAACTCCTGCACAGTCTAACTCACAATAATCCATTTATTTGCAACATTTGGGTGCTAGACCTTCATCAGGCAAAGATTGCTAGCACCAAGACGTTGAAAAGAAATGTATTATCACAAATGTTGCAAATAAATAAATGCAAAGCATTACTATTACATTAAATGTACAATAGCAAAAACAGTATGCATTGATTATTTCTGCCGACAAACAACTGTTCAGGAACCAGTGCCAGGGACTAGACCTCAGGGTGACCCTGGGTAACGGGTGAAGAACTCATTATTGATGCATACTAGCTTGGGCCATTAACAACACTGGAATTCAGTATTTTTCACGATTCCTCATGGCTCGCTGAATGACAGCAGTCCCGACTCCAAGCTTCAAAACATCCCTTTAGAAACGGGTGGCATCAGGGTGCAAAGTTAACCCTCCAAGTGCCAAATGTGACCCTCACTATCCACCGTACCCATCATGACGTCAGCGAATCAAATCATCTATTTGGTGTTTTCTACACAGTGTCATGTTTTTGCCGTAAGAAACATCAGCGTTGCATGTTATTAGACACATTCCCAGTGTTAAGCCACCATAAAGAAAACATGAAGACGAAGAGAAAGGTCATGGATGTCAGCATTTCTGCGAGATCCTGAATAAGATATGAAGCTCAAAAGGTTCAGAAGGGCTCAAAACTTATTTTTTGTCAAATAATGCGCGATGCGGTTTTGTGGCCAGTAAAGAATATAATTGGATGGTAAATGTTCTCAGTTTACCTGCCATTGGCAGATGAGCCTAAAAGTTCATTTTGGTGTTCACTGTGTGTCATGTTTTGCAACAATGTACAATTAAGAAGCCGTTTTATTACTAAAAGACCACCATGTTGATCCTGCTGCTGATCTCTGTCCCTCTGGGTGCAGCTGTCCCTCCCACGCTGCCTTTGTTAATTTACCCATCAATCCTTTATAATAAAACAGATTTAATGATTACTGAGCATTCTCCAGTCCACCAAAACCAAAAAACATCTGAAAAAATCTGCTTCCCCTGCTGGGACTCAATTTCACTCCAGGGAGGAAAATAACTAAATGCTTTATTTTCGTCATTTTCTCAAATCAACACACATCAAACGAAGACCCACTGCCAATGAAACCCTTTTCATATTCATTTTAGCACGACACAGGTCCCACCGGACACCTCAGTCACACACTGTATCCCAACGAGCAACTCAAACAGGAATGCATCATCAGAAAAATGTGTATAATGATTAGATTGCATGTTAACTTTCAAAACAAACTGCTCTCTCGCTCTCTCTTTCACTGTGTGTTTGGTCTCCGTTTAATAAACACATTTTTGGAATATTTGGGGCAATTGATTATAATTAGCCTCCTTCCCTCCTTCATATTTTCTCCTCTAACCAGAGCAATATATAAGTCATTAATGAGGAGACATAAAATGTGGAGGGAAAATAGAGGGTTGTGGTGTTTGACTCACAGAGAGCTGTGCATGTACACACAGTGGAATCAGTAAAACCTGATGTACAGGCCTTTCAGTGCTGTCAAAGTCATTGTTTTTGAGATATCACTATTTTACAAGCTACTAGCTGTTACATTTCGTGGGACCAGAGGGAGGGCAGTTTCCATGGGAACTCAGCGAGACTTTTGACATATGGAAGTGGGCGTGGTTTCAGGTTGTAAAAATGATGACGCTACAGGGACCACGAAACTGAAGCAGCTAAATGGAATTCAGCCTTGGTTGATGTTATTATTTACGTTTACGTGCAGAAAGGGCCAAAACTGTTCTTCTGGTGTGTAAACAACCTCTGAGCTAAAAGTCAACACCAACACAATAAAACTGTTTAACATATGTATTTTCAGAGCTTTGTGTTTATTTTCATGTCAAACAGTAACTGCAAATAGTCATTTACTAGGCTAATAGAAATACAGTCATATAAGATGGGTGGGGGCCACTCACACACATAAAACCACTTCAAGGGTGTACAGCCAGGAGACCACACACTCCCAACACAGACCTCGTTCACTTTACTACACATGGAGGCCAAATGTAGTCACACTCCACAGAAAACCTCCACCGGCTGTAATACTGTAGGGGTTCCATTCAGGCCGGCTCTAATTTAAGTGGTCTCTTGAGGGAGTTCCTCGAGTCTTTAAGGGGGCTTCAGGGGCCTTTAGCAGCATTTTAAGTGTACACTGTAATTAAATGAACTGTGAATTTTCTAAGTAGAGCTACTGAAGGGGAGTATGATGATCTTTGAGAGGGTTCATGGGGTCCTTGAATAGGTTACATCTACAGTAGGACAGGCTGACTTTTACTGTACTTTACTTCAGTAGAAATTCTTGGGGTCTGGTGACACCTAAAAGTCTGCTGGCAGGGTCCAAAGAGGGCTCCAGGAGCCCTTGAAGAGTTTCCAGTGGCTTTTAAAAAAAGGGCCTTAAAAAAAAAAAAAAAAAAAAGGGTCCTTTAGTGGATTTGAGGACATCACAAAAGCATGTACAAAGACAAACAGGTACAATCTCTGCACACGCACAAAGTACACATTCCTACCAGTTGTTTCACACTTTCCCACTGGTTGTCCCACGTTATTTTAAAGGGGAGGAATAAAAAAATGGAGGCAATCTTAAGTTTAATTTCACTGACATGCAACTACCTAACACATCTCCTCCATCGAGACCGTAAACAGAAAAAAACACTCCTATAAGTGCAGTTTATAATCTTTATATAACGATATAAAGAACAGTACGAAGAACAATAATACTGAACTCATCCAGTCACTCACATGTGAAAACCCTGAAGAGAATGTAACAATCCGGGATTCTCTACTAGCGACAAAGCCAAAGACCACATGTTGCAGTCTAGCTAAGAGAAAGCATAAAAACAAAACAAAACCACCACCAACAACAACAACAACAACAACAACAACAACTATAGCTCTCCCTTCATACTTTTTCATGCTAATAATTGTTTTATTATAATCTCCTTGTATAAAAGCCTAGATGAGATAAACAGAAGAGCTGGGCATGAAAAACACTAAACCTCTAATCTTACTCCTAAAAGGTGACCTCTGACCCCAAATTCTGAAAATTTCTACACCACCATCTTTTAGCAGCACCCTCTAGGGAGCGAGAGCTAATGAATGTGACAACCAACCCCTTCCTTCCCCTACATCATATTTGTTAGGATACACACAACGTGTTTTGGTGAGAAACACTGAACGTAAACATAAATTTTGTTTGTTTACGAGCAAACTCCACAGGGGCCCCTTTAAGCTGCTCAACCAGCCTCACGATGAGCTACACAGTCCCTCATCTCTCGCAGCACATTAAATATCAACGTATTCTCATATGCGGGCCATAGGAAAACAGGAAACAGTGCAGACAGTGTTCGCTCTATTTATTTAACAAAGAACACTAATTTCTATTTGTTTCAATTGACAGGAACTTCATCTCAGTTAGGTTTTTCGTCAGGCCTTCAGACACTTTCACATATGAATACGGGTCATTTTTCTAATTTGACTAACATTATTTCAGGAAACTAAACAGTATGTATGTAGAACAGACAATCTCTGTCATGTGTGAGACAACAGCTTTCTCCTCAGTCTCCAATACCAACAGTAGGCGCGCTCTGAGTGAAATGATCAGTTATTGACTTGTATTGCCCGAGGACCTCCACTTTAATTTCTCTTTGAAACTGGATGAGAATCTTTAACAAAAAACACAATTTTTACTGATTCACTCAGAAACTATCGGACAGTGGGAGAGAAGGAAACGTCTCACCCCACAACACAAAAGTTATTTTATTCTGCCTTCAAAATGTAAAATATTTTCCACTGTGATTTATAGTGGAAGTGAATTCCTGCACATAATGAACATTATTTTTGTACATTTGTTTTCCTTTTATTTACTGTACTGAAATTCCTTTTATAATCTTGTTATTCAGACTTTTCTTTTTGTTTACTCTGATAATGTAGAGTACAGTAAAATTAGTACATTTCATGTCATTTTCCTCATTCTAGACTATCATTTATTATAGTTTACATTCTTATATTGTGGTACCACATCATTAGCTATCACTCAAGTCTAATATTTTGTGCCTGAAATGCTCTTATTGTATATATATATATATATATCTATATGAGGCAGCTAGATGGCAATTTTGTTTAAACAGAGATTAACTCCCTTTCTTCTCACATAACTACGTGAAGAATTTCATTCAAATAACGTTAACTCTCCAATAATAATTTGTTCATTATTAATTACTCATTATTAGCAAATTGACTAAATCTTCAGGTCATTCGGGTAAATTCGGCACACGTGTACAAGCAATAACTTACTTCTACTGTTGTTAAGTCCCAACTTTTAGAGCTGTTTCTCCCCGCTGTCTGCGCTCCCCACGGCAGCATTACGGACGTTAGCAGCTCCAGAAGCAAAGGGCTTTTCACCTGACGTGTCACCGCAGGACAAACACAGCTGCAGCTAATAAAATCAGGCTAATAATGGCCCCGTTTGATTCAGGTGTGCCAAATGAACCGCTATTGACAATATATGCCAATGAGCACTGACAAAACCGGCGGAGGGAGACAAAACAGTCGCCTATTGTTAACGCTCAATGGCACAGTAAATCAAACGTTCTCGCTAGGCTACTCATTATTAATTGTATTAGCTGCAGCTGTGTTTAACCAATGATACGTCTGTGAAAGGGTCAGTCTAACTAAAGGATATCTAAACAACTGATGCTTGGTAGCGTGCTAAACTGAAGAGCGAATAATGGCGTTTTTTTTTATTAATTTCTCGAAGTTTTGAATTGAGTTTGGTGTGGCTTGCAGAACTAATTTATAAGCTAGGTTAACTCATTGTTTAAACTTGGCACCACGTCCGCATATTTAGGGACCGTGGTAAAAGTGTAAAAGCAGTGGTTTCAAATTGTTTTGTCTCCTAATAATAAATATATGTGGTCGAAACATAATTATAACAGAGGATTTTTTGAAAGGTAACAAGACTTTTCCAACCTGTCATCCTCCCTGTGCATGCTGGGATTGGCCTCCTCAAACCAGTTAGTGGAGAAATTAGTGACTAGGGAGTGTCTGTATTTAGTTTTTAATAGCTGTTATAAAATAGCTTTGTATTTTTTAGACCACATCATAGTAGTTCCACAGAGATCCAAAAACGACACATGCCATTAAAAGATGATCTGATTGGTCAAAAGCATATTAACTGAATATATAAATATAACAATAGCAAATTCAATAATTAAAATGAATTGTGAAAAAATATAATTGTCTTTTTTCCCTTCAATTTCAAACATTTAAGAAACCTTTACCTCCTGTCTTTTTATATTTTCTAAATCCTAAGCTGCTCACCATTTTCATAAACATGAACATTAAATTTAAGTCATCCTCCTTTAGTGGCTGTGAACACAGATCTGGCAGAAGATTACAGACTTAGATATTGCCATTGCAAAAATGTGAACGCTAATTAGAAAATTAGATTCATTTCACATTATTGGGGACCCCTAGTGCCAATCCAAGGACCGTGTAAGAAGAAATGATGTTACATGTTGTCCGAGAGTTCAAATTAGGTTTCCACCTCATAAGGATTTTTTTAATATGGTTATATGCGCCAAAGTGGTTTACAACTTTATTTGAAAACCACCACAAACATACAAATATCTATATTTTTATTAAACCAAGAGCTACCAAGTCAGCACAGTGAAAGGATCCTTAAAGATTAGAGAAACTGCCTTTCATTTCTGTAAAACTTATAACAAAAAAAAGATCTAGTACTTAGAATAACATTTCATCAAATAAAAAAATCAATAAATGAAAACTTAAAAAAACAATAAAAAGTGTCTCCCTAACATGAATTATCCTAACAGCTTTACTTAAGTGTACCAGATATTAGATAATGCAACAACTTATGTATTTTCACAATCATTAACTGCAGTTTCTAAAAGAAAGCAAATTGAATTCCAATCATATCTCATTAAAAGTGACAGCTCAATGCTGCGAATATATATTCCTGTCAAATAATGATGTTTTTTTATGGTCAAGGTTACATTTGGTTATAGTTATGCAGGTTGTGGAATGAGTTCCACTCACTTTACTGTAATGAAAACCAACTAAATCCACAAAATCTACTGTTATTGAAGCATGACATTTACATTTTCCCATGAAAGAAGTCTTACATTTCCATAAACTGTTTGCATCATTACCTATCATTTTGTTACACATTTTATTACAGTTTGTTTAGTTTTTTATCTGTTTTTTCTAAGTTTTCAGTAAATGCTCACTCACTTTTTAAGAAGTCACCGTGCTTGCTGGGGAATAAACTCCATCCATTGGTGAGAACGAGTGACTCCAGCCTGAGAGAATGTGAATTTTCCCTTTCGCAACAAAAAAACAGCACGCCGGCAGTACGAGCAAAGGATATAAAGACAAGGAGTGATGAGGGCAGACTGCTGCTGCCTGCTGAGTAAAGAGCAGGAAAATGACACATGTAGAGAGAGAGAGAGAGAGAGAGAGGGGAGGGAGGGAGAAAGGGAGGGAGCAGGGAGACGGCGTTTGGGAGGGAAACCTGAAAACAGATTGACATACATGAAAAAAGAGTTACATCTATTACATACATGGAAAAAAAGGTTACATTTATTATTTGATTACTTGTCTTCAAATAATCATCTTTACCATTTAAGCTCTGCTGTTGGAGAGGGTGTACAGTAAAAAGAGCTGCTTCTTTATTCTCCAAAGCCTTACACTAAATGAATAATGTGATCACAGATTTAGAAAGGATAATTAACTTCCCAGATGTCGTGATAGCAGAGTACAGGAGGAGGAGGAGGAGAAGGTATAAAAAGGTGATTTATGTCAGAAGTTCTTCATGGCAACAATGTCACAGTTCTTGAATAACAGTGTACTGTGGTGCTTTCTGACTGGTAGATCCGTAGAGTGTGTGGGGACCACTGAAGAGCCACAAACAACGTTTAAAAAGTTGCAAATGATCAAAATGGGCATAATAGAGAAGCTGATTGTCTGCCCCCTGCTGGTGGGAAACAGTAAAGATTAAAAGGGATAAAAATGAGTTCCAGACAAACCTTCCTTTCCTTAGAAATCCTTCAATCTGTAACTTCAGCTGTATCTGATGGGTGGATTTTAGTGTAAACACCCCTTAAAAGGTCCAATCTACAAGAGTTTCTAGTTATCCCAACACAGCTCAACATGTGTAATTAGTAGCTCAAATTCAAAACAGAGCTTGGTACAATTGTACAAGTAAACTGCAGTTGTTTTCTGCAATGAAAATAAACTAAAAAGTATAATTTCCACATTAAAAGCCTTCATCTGTTCCTTCTACCTCATAAAAAAATCCAGAATCTATGAATATAAAAATGTTCATTTCTAAAGTTATGGACCTCTGGTTATATATCATGAGCTTTTGGATGATTTGGTGCACGTTTGGAAGGTCTTTACTTTCCTGAGAACTGATCTCATATTCTCCGCCTGGTCATCACTTTCATGTTTTGTTAGAGTCTGTCCACATATCAGGGCTGGTGTTCAGAGGCAGTGGTCAGCTTTCCTTGATTTATTCTACATGGAAGAATATCACCTATCATTTACTGCTCAGCTGGCCTGCCTTCCTGTTGCTTCTCCTCTGTGGTTTGTGCGAAAACTGCCAACACTTGTCTGTCCTACATCATCTTAAGTATCTCTGACAGCTCACCACAAGTCACTCACCATGAGCAGGAGGTGTGTGTGCGCATATAGTGTATGTATATATATACATACTGTATAAGAGTGTGTGTGTGTGTGTGTGTGTGTGTGTGTGTGTGTGTGTGTGAGATGGTGGCAATTAAAGAGTGCTTTCATAAGACTCCAGTGAAAACAAGCCAGCCCTTATTACTGTAACAGCAAATATTGATGTTGTGGTCGGAGCTTTATGTTTGCTAACTAAAGCATTTCTGATTTACTCACTTAGCATACAGTGTAGGCTAGAAGGAGGCGCTGGTGGACCCACATGATCAAAAAATGTTTTTGAAGAGTTCCAGATTATTGTTAAATAAGCCAAATTCATATCAGATTGACTTCTTTGGGATCATTTTATTTTTTTTGCTTTATGTGATTTTAATTGTATCTTTATTTTACTGATTCGGTTTAGTTTATTTAGCTGCTGTCTATACTAAGGCTGATGGATTATTTTCATGATCAATTTTCTGCTGATTATTTTACAGATTAATCAATTTGGCAGTCGAGAGAATTGTGAAAAAAAAAAGGGAAAATTCCACATTTTCTAAAGTTTTGTGGCGGACAGTCCAAACACAAAGATATGCAGTTTATATGCAGGTTATCAGAATAGTTGCAGATTAATTGTCTGTCCATTGTCTTCTGCTCTGATCTGTGCCTTATTCTTCATTTGTGCCGTAACGCAAAGTCCATCCCACTCAGCACTGAGATTCTACTTTGCTTTGACAAACCACAGCAAACTGTAGACAACCTAAGAGCTCTTTGTTTTTTTTCACTGTCAAAATGCTGCCCCCCTGTGGTCCCTTAATGGCATGTCGTTAATGGCCAGATCAGTTGTCTCACCTGAAGTATAGACAGTTAGATGACTATTTTTATTCATTTATTCATTCCTGCCTATACTGTCATTGCATTTACATGTTATGTCCAAGACATTCAGACAAATGTTGTTCTATGTCATTTTTATTTATTTCCTCTCTGACTGCCTGAGGAAAGTGTCTTGAAAAATGGGAAATAAACCAGAAAGAGTTTTGAAAGCTACCAGTAGTGTTCTTTAAACTACATGTATCCGTTTTTGTTTTTTGGTCACTTGACAGCAAAACTTCACAGCAAACTGGAAATCTCACACGTATTGACATACTGGGGCATAACTGTCAGACACTCAATGTTTGGCATTGGTACTGAGTGTTTGGTTGGTGACTGATGAAGTGTCTGTTTTTAATGGTGTTGGGTTTGCGGATGGTGTGCTCCCTGGTGGGAACTGTATTGTTCTTCCGTTGTTTGTTTCAGGGTGGTTGTTATTCTTGGGTTTTGCTTTTTAGTTTTTCATATGGAGTTTTTTCCTGTCTACAAACAGTAAGGTTTTGATTTACTGCTGATCTTTTATCTGTGTATCCTATGCATCACTAGTGACCTCCGCCCAGGGACTATAGATAAAAATTTGCTTTTAGCTCTATCTGGTACAATACATGTATGGTGCATTATCACTGCTAAATAAACACTAAATAAACAAATGAAAGATTAGTAACTTCAGCCTTCAAAATAATTTCCCCCCATATTTCCATGTATTAGCATCCTATCCTAACTGGTTATGGTTAGGGCAGTGGTTCTCAAACTGTGGGAGGGCGTGGATTACCAGGGAAAAAACATAGAGTGAAACTAGTTGAATTAATATGACTTATGTGGGGAAAACAAACCATCAAGAGCATGCTGATGCTATCACACTGGCCTTTATTTAACTAAAATTCAAACATTCAACTTCAAGTTTGCTTTCTAAAAAAAAACTGTTGGGCAAACTTTTTTCAGCTTTTGAAGATGGGCATGCCAGAAATAGTTGGGTTGTGTTCTGGTTAAGATAAGGGGATTTAAGGGAAGACATATGTGAAACAACACTGGCATCTGGTGGTAAGATGATAAAATGCACTGCATTGACTTCAACTTGTGAAATCCTAACAGAATCCCCACAGCTGTGTGTTAGTACAGCTGGGAGTGAAACTGAAAAGGGGTTTCCAGGTAAAAAGCTTGGATATAAGGTATAATGCAGCATTGTTGTCCTTAATGAGGAGTATCTGTTGCACTGATTGGATGGCACTGCTGTCATCCAGGCTGCAAACTGTCTTCAGCATTTCAAACAGGTCAGCCTGTGTGTTTAAGTTTAGCTCAGTGCCGCTATTGATGGTCAGGGTGTGTTGGTGCACACAGAGAGCTGACATGGCTGTTTGTGCCACAGTCCTGACTGACCACTACAGTTTAACATTTACACAATCATCAAATAGAGGCCCATAATATTTGTATCTATGTCAGAGTGTGTTTGTGGTGTGTTTACAGTTTGCTGTAAAGAGTTGGTCAGTGGCTGAGGTCTTTATGCAGCGTAATCCCACAGCCTCTTTCTGGAAAACATGACTAGCAATGGAACCACTGAGTCAAATTTTGGAACTCATTCTCACGACAAAGCAATTGTCTCGATTACAGAGGCCTCGGAAGGTATAAAAGAGAGAACGAGGGCACATGTGGGCACACACTCACGTGCATATACATAGTGTTTTACATTACATAAGATACACATATTCAAGGGAAACCACACAGTGGAGCACAGCTAGTCCCAGGATGGGCAGGGTAAGTAGAGGTGAAAGATATGTAGTTACAGTTAAGTAATTGTTTACTTGTATGAGTGAAATGTAAAGGCACAAACTGAGGCTAACCTGTTTCCAGGTTTGATTTACCCATGCAGTAGACTATAGTAGACATTTCCTGTCTTGACTGTAGGATGTTAAACAGATATAGAAGATTATATAATCCAGAAAGTGGTGCTTGAAAAAGTTGAGGTTTGTGTCTGTAGGGTTAGTTTTGGACAGTACAGTCAGCTCTTGGCTTGCATGTTCAATTTCTTTAAGTCTGAACTTTAAGCTTGTAGGCATCTGGTCCGGACTTAGCTGTCCTGCTCTCTTTCTCTTGTGGATCCTCCATCTTAATGAGTAGAGGGTTTTTGCCTCAAAGCTTGTAAAAGTAAGCTCAGAATCATGAAACCGAGCACAAAATAGGGTTTACAAACAGTAACTTGACCTTACTACAAACCCAGTTTACACATATAAATGTAATTTACAGGCTTACAAAACTGACATTTCAGGAACAAAACTCAAAAGTTAAGCACCTTTTTCTGTCATTTAATATTCCTTGATATCAGATTAACTCATGTACCATCCCCCCAGATCATCTTCTACGAGGACAAGAACTTCCAGGGTCGCAGGTATGAGTGCGACAGTGACTGCACCGACTTCCACTCCTACCTGAGTCACTGCAACTCGGCCCGTGTGGAGAGCGGGACCTGGGTGATCTACGAGAGGCCGAACTACATGGGCTACCAGTATGTCCTGACCAGAGGCGAATACCCCGACTACCAGAGCTGGATTGGCCTCAACGACAGAGTCAGCTCCTGCAAGATGATTAATTTCGTAAGCTTTTAAACATACTAGACTTCTATAGAAGTCAGGGGTCATACAGAGGTGGTGATGGCATACAGTTTCACTCACTAATGAATTAGCCAGTTTGGCCTACGTGAAGATGTTATGCTATGCTCCATTTTTACACATTTTCAGGGATATCAAGTGACAACGATTTACCCTCTGGAGGCCAATGTTTCAGAGCTTCTAGTATCTCCAGCCAAGATTTCCACTGCAGTCCGATAAGCAACTTGATACTTGAAAACGACTAGAAAGATGCATTTCAGTTAGAGATGTTCGGATACCAGTTCTTCCTGAAGTTTGAGAATCGGCCGATGCCAAGTACCGATCCATACATTTCCATTAAAATATAGATGGCTATCCTATGACAGAGAAGTAGCAGGGTCCTGTTTCCGGACTAATAAATTGCATGGCATCGGATCAGTGCACAGACACGTGTACTATCAGTATCAGTATCGAAACAACTCTAATTTTGACTAATCTCTATAAAACTATAGAGAATCTCTATAAACAGCTCTCTGCAGATACTTTAAAAAATGAATTAAAAACAAGAAAATCGTCCAACGATAGCCATTTGGATCCACATTGCATTGCAGCCACTGCATTCTGCCTCTTTTGCTCTGCACAGGGATTGGTTACCTGTAACCAGTGCCCGCTGAGAAGTGATTGGTCAATACTATTCGGACTACAAATGGAAACCAGAATGCTTCCAATGCCAAAATTTCAGTCTCTTCCCTAAATACCGATTATAGTTTCTAAAGATTATGTTGCAACGAAACACATCTAAAAAACTGCATCATATATCTCCTTCATTTTGTCCATCATTGAGTCTTTAAATCTCATTTTGAAGTAAAGTAAATATGCCAGTTGCTCTTGTTTAAAATGCTAATTTCTAGAAATTTTATAAAAAAGTGGAAGCTTAGTTGTTAGACTTGTTTAAGGTCTAGTGTGTAACATTTAGGAGGATCTATCAGCAGAAATAAAACATAATATTTATAGGTATGTTTCCATTAGTGTATAATCACCTGAATATAAGAAATGTGTTTTTGTTACCTTAGAATGAGCCGTTTTTATCTGAGGGATACTCTTCTACAGAGTCAGCCATGTTAAACTGTCATGTTTGTGTACAGTAGCCCAGAGCGGACAAAGACAGGTTAGTTTTTCTACATGCTTGGAAGGAAAGCTGTATTCAGTTGTTTGCAATCTGCAACGTCACCGCTAGATACCACTAAATCCTGCACACTAGTCCTTTAAGACAGATATTTTTGATATGACTGACACTACACTTCTCCACTGTGGCATCCACTCATCCATTTCTTCACTTTTTCACCAAACACCCTCTCATCATAGACAAATTCTACATCCATCTCTCAGAAAATCATCTCTCTTCCCATCCATGTTTGTACTACGCCTTCCCAAACCCTTTTTCTCCTCCCTGTTTCCCCTTCTGTCCCCCTTTTCCCTGCGTCTTCCCCCAGGCCAGCGGAGACCCTTACAAGATTCAGCTCTATGTTAAAGGGGACTTTTCCGGTCAGGTGTTTGAAGCGTCAGAAGACTGTCCCTCCGTGCTGGAGAAGTTCCGCTGCAGGGAGGTTCACTCCTGCAGGGTTCTGGGAGGCTTTTGGGTCTTCTATGAGCACCCCAACTACAAGGGTCGCCAGTACCTGTTGGAGAAAGGCGAGTACCGCAAGCCGGTGGACTGGGGCGCCGTTTGCCCCACTGTACAGTCTTTTAGAAGGCTAACTGAGTAGACATGTTCCTTTTTCTCACCTTTTCTTTGGCTGTTGATTGGTTCACGGCTGACACCTGAGCAGGCAGCCATGGCTTCAATAAAACTGACTGATGAGGAATCACTGGGTTTTGTGCCATCACTGAGTGTGAGTGTCTGCCAGTTCTTGCAATGCATAAGGGAGAGTGACATTGAGTCTCGCCTCAAGTCATCCTTTTTCTGGTTAACAGTCTCGGAAAAAGAGATGTCAGGGCTTTTTCATTTCACAGTAAAGATCACAACAGTAGAAAATCGTTGATTGTTTCACTCCATGTTAAACTTTTACACAATGTTGAGTGCTCACAGCAGAGGTGTAAACTCTAGTCACATGAGTCTGACCTGAGCTCTGAAGCTGGTGACTTTAGACTGAACTTGACGAAAAGAAAAGGGCTGGGTGTGACGCCAGTGACTTCTGACCCTACTTGGACTTAAGCCTTTTGGCTCGGAATGACTTGATATCTTCCCAAATCTCAAGCGTTATACCCTTAAAAAACCCTATCCCATATCGAACAGATTCCTTTGAATAATAACACACAATCCGTTGAGGCAGGATGGAGAGGTGCGTTTGGCAGATGAATAATGACTTGAGTTTGTAGCCAAGATTTGAGACTCACTTGAGGCTTAAAAAACAATGAGTTTGAAGTTTCTCATATTATCTTAAAAGTCCACATTGAGAAGTTGTGGCTGCTCTTAAAAGATTAATATGTCAGTTAACTTTCCTGACAGCATTTTTGAAGTGAAGCCCATTTAACATAGTCAGTCGTAATTGTAAGGCTAATTGTTTGCATGTTTGCAAGTACTATAATATTTTAATAAACTATTCTGAAACCATTATTAAAGGGATATACCAGTGGTTTTGCAGGTTTTAGCCAAATAAATCACTTAAACTTTACAGTAGATCCCAACAAACTATGCTACTGTGTCTGAATGTATTATTCATTTATTTATATAATAAAATGCAAAAAGAGTTTATTACTGCAGGATTAAACTTCTTGCTTGTGTATTTCTACCGAATTACCAACATTTAGATGACAAAATACAGGAGGCATTGCGTGTATACAAGGCATTGCGGGTGTATTACGATTTTTTTAAGTGGGCATTGTCCTGCCCTGACATATTGCCCTGACATATTGCCCTGACATATTGCCATACAGTTGTTACTGTAGCTGGCCCGTCTGCTTTTGCGGAGACAGATAGGTTGAATTCTCTGCTGTATGTGGATCGTGTTTTCATAGACGATCTGGCAACAAACTCAGTGTATGATGATTATTCACAATAAAGTTTGAAGGCAATGCAAATTACAGGGGCTTCCCAGTTGGTGGAAAAGGCTAGAAGGATTATCCTGTCAAACAAATCAAAATGAAACTGTAAAACAAACTATTTTATTATCAGATCTGCTTACAATGGTGCTCATGATGATTAAGTTGAGAACAGTTTAAAATCGATGTATTTACATCTGAACTCACATGCCAAACTCTGGGCAAATGTTTGTCATGCAGTAAGTTGTGTGGCATGCTGGTTGCTCCCGCCTGTCGGTCCTGTGCCAGTGTCTGGATCTTCTTCTTCTTCTCTGCTCACACTGAAGGCTGTCCTTCATCGATGAAGCTGAGCTGGGCGGTGTGCTCTCCCCACTCCATGTCCGGCGGGCTCTGGAGGGGCTCTAGGGGGTGTGATGCCATGCTGGAGGGCTGGAGCTGAGGCTGGGAAAGGGAATGGGGATAAGACTGGGATATGAACTGGGATGGAGGCTGTATTTGTGGCTCACTACCAGGTCCTGATAAGTCTACCAAAAGGGGAGTGATGGATGATGGGTGGATTGATGAAGAAAGAGAAGGGATGGAGGAGGAGGAGTAGGGAGGTGGTATGACTGTGTGCTCATGGGGAGAGCTGTTGAGTGACGGGGGAGCTGAGAAGTGAGAGGCTAGGGGTGCGGTACCAGCCTGATGAGGATTCTGGGAGGGTGAATACTGAAGCGGATCAAACTCTCCTTGTAACGCCTTCATCACGCTCAGCTGGGGAGAGGACAGTTCGGGTAGCAGAACTGGTGGAGGATTTTCATCCTCTGAACAGTCCACAGGTGCATGTTGGGTAAGAAGGGGCGGGGCCGGGGAGCAGCTGTGTGATGACACGCTGGGAGGCGGAGTCATAGCACCGGGTATCAGCAGCGTGGAGGTGTTATGAAAGAGGGGTTTGAGAAGACGCGTCATTTCCTGCAGCTCCTGACTGACAGTGGTTACCTGATGGGAGAGGATGGTCATCTGGAGCGAGGGGAGACAGAGAGAAGAGGAGTAACTGCTGATGTGTTTGACACACAGGACTCTTGTTCTCCAGTCTTGGCTTATAAACCTGCATTTACTGCACTTAGATACAGCAGTCTGAGTTCATCCTTACACCTTTAAGTCTTGAGCCAATAAAAAAAGGATTTTATTAATTTAAAATATGGATGTATTTTATCCTTTATATTTAAATAGTTGCATTCAATATTAATGATGCATTACATGCACATAGAATTTAGCATTGTGAAAGCCACTTAGCTAGCATTGTGCTACAGAGTAAAACTCTAGAAAGCTAATCTACATCAATCGTTTGCTAGCTAGTGACATCTGTTAGCTAATGTTAGCCAAACACCAGCTAGCTAGCTAGCTAGCAAGCTATTTTACATCAATCGCTAGCTAGTTAGCCAGTCAGCTAGAATTTTGCTAATATATGTCGCTTTTAACTTTTAATCATCTTCAAAATGTGGTCGTCCTTTTAACGTAGCTGAGCCTAGCACGTAGCATATCGAAGTACAGGAAAGGAGAAAGTTGACGAGACTTCCTCAACTGTTATTGTTCTATTTGAAAAGTGTCCTGAGATAACTTCTGTTATGAATTACATATATACAATATATAAATAAAATTGAATTATTGGAGCACAGAGCAAAAAGGGGGCGGGACTTAAAAGGGTCAGTAAGCCAGTTGGATTTTCTCAACGTCAGCAAAAGCATTAAATACATTTTCTTTTTGTCACTTCGTTACTCTGCAACACATTACTATGACCAACCTTACCTCGTGTTTTAGCTTAGCAATAGTCTGCATGGTGTCACTCTCATCACGGGCCCCTGTGGACATACATAAATACATGAATGCATTAATACACACACCCATGCACTCCAGCAGCTGGTTGATAATTAAGATTCATTCATTCATTTAAAAAATGCATCTTAACCAAAGCTGATATTAGACTTTCATTTTAATGTGACCCGCTCCAGTCTGATATATGTACGTGTGTGTGTCTGTGTGTGTTAACCTGAGGTAGCTGAATCAGGGCTGGGTAGGAAACTCCGAGTTGCACTGGGAGAGAAATCAAACTTATGAGCTGGACCGCTTTGGTTTTCTGTCTCGATCCCATCCACAAACCTGAGGACAGAAGGGAAGACTGAGTCCATAAATTGAATTCTCACACGGAAATTCAAGAGTGACACTTCCCCTCTGACAAAGAACAACATTTGAGTAATCAGATCTACATATTTGCATATCTGCCGTCTCTGTGTGAGACAATAAGACAGAAGCTCCACATGGTGGCAGCAGACTAACAGACATTTTTACCCTGTGACACAATGCCAAGGTACAGATGACATATCCATGTACTGTAGGGCAAACTACAACTAAGCAGCATGCTGTAGCACGCTGTGAGTATGCAGGCAGGTACAAATGGAATTTCCTTGTTTAAGACAACACACAAGATCCCACATATCCCTTGTGACTTTGCATTATTCAAGACAAAAACAAATCACCAAAGCAACAAAATGATTACTCATTCACTGAATCTAACTGCAGTGTATCATATGCAGTCTTCTTCTGTGGCAATCATTGCGAGCTAATAATAACCTTATGATACAAAAACCCTTTAGAGGACCCTGATTAAGGCACTGGCTGATATCTTCGGTAAAAATTCCCTCTCATTCTTATCATTAGTGGGACTAAACAGTTTCTCCTTCAGGTGAAGAAATCAGCAGGGTGGAAAGCTTTCGGAGCATGAAGGTGCTCAGAAAATGTCACAGTATTTCGCCTATTAGCTTATAAATTATCCTTGGCAAAACACATTTTGGTATGAGGGTGATAGTGGAGGGGAAATCATGCAGTCCAGTATGTAAATGTCTCATCCTCTGAGGAGGATAACTTTGGGAGCTAAAACTGACTCATCTCTACACAAGTCTACAAATTCACTTCTTTTCCTGTAATAAAGAGCTGATGTGGAATAAAATAAGTCCCATTTAGAGATTGCCCCAACCCATTAGTGCCTCACTGGTTTTGTTTTCATAATCAAATCACATACTTCACCTCACTATTGCCAATGACTGCACTTTATCTCACCATTTGATATCTGTTTTTCAACTGTTTGTTTATTTTCCTCATCATACATACCTTCTCAATCCCCAATTTATTCAGCTGTTTGACATTTAGCTATAAATGAATGTCCTCATTTATCAGTAAGAGGTTTGTTTCCTCCTTCCTTGCCGAAGATAAAGGTCAATCTACCAATTCCTTGTTATGAGACTAATACATTTAATGATTGGTTTATTTATTTTCTTTCCAATGAAAGTGGTGCCCCTTTCAACAAGAGCAAAGATTTAATTCTCAAAAATAGTTATTTCAGTACATGGCGCGAGACAAAAAGAGTCACCAAAATCATGAGATTCATCCTCTGGGGACAACGAATGTCAACAGACAGGGACGTTTGATGCATCACTCTCTCGCTTACTGACACCTCTCTACAACTCTGTCATAAAAGTTTTAAAAAATGTAAAAAAACAAAAACTCTGAGTCCCCTAAACAAAAACATAATCATTTTTATTTTCAGATCATTTTACACTAATGGAAACATAACTAAATTGACCTTAATAATATATAATAATATATAAAAATAGCCAATCTTCTCGCTGATGGTCCTATTTGTTTATGTAGGTCATACAGAGGCATCAGTATTAAATTGAGACTCTTTCATAACCAGTTAAACACAACTTGTGATGTGTTTAAGAACTTTATAACTACATTTTTG